GGAGGAAATTGAAGGCTTCTTTTTACTTGCCAGGCAAGTAAAAGGACGAGAAATTTTGGCAAGGGGTAGATACTCAGAATTCACTGTTGTAGATACAAGTAACGAATATAGATATATCCTTGACTTAAACACATAATTCCTTTAATATATTGTTTACTCTGAGCAGCTTGTGGACACAATGTAAGAATTAATGTCTGGCAGGCAACTATGGGGGGGGGGGGAGCGATCCTCCCGAAGGGGGCGGCTCCCCCCACCCTTCCCCAAGGAAATAAGTCTCTTACCAGATATAACATATTCCTTTTCTGCGCGCCATCTACTAGATTATATAGACTACAGTCAAAATCAACGGTTTTCACATTTTGCCTGTCGCAGTTTTTATAGTTCAATAAAGTGAGATAAGCGATATGTCGGTTTCAAGAATTTCCTCTGCATACCCAACCTTCGGATCAAGAATGAGGAAAATGGGGACGAGTTCTGTCTACTCACACGACATTAATCATTCCTTTAATGTGACTCTTTCACCAAAGCCAGTTACGAATAAATTTGCCTTTGGATTTAAAGTACAAGGAAATGGGTCCTGGAATAGGAATTATTTATAACTAGAATGTAAAAGGATAACGAGCCAATATGTCCAAGACCCTCGATCCTGAAGCGCCGTCATCATCAGCTGAGCCTCAACCGAGCCTCAGTTACGATATTCCCGTAGATGTCCTTTGATGAGACATCTTTAGTAATTTCCAGAGAATAAGTGTCATCATTCTTCTGTTTAGTCATGAACTTGTTGAAAAATATAGTTAATCTAAGGGGGTGGAAGCCCAGAGGAACAGGTACTGTATTTGAGGAAAGTTTGTGTAACAGTTTAACCTTAAAAGTAATTCCGATGAGATTTTAAACAGTGTGCCATAACAGTGTTGATTTCTACTACTTGATTCAATTGTGGAAGAACGATATTTAAATGCCTTATATACTGAGATGAGCTGTGAGAATTCTAAATGCCAGCATACATTATTTATAGTTTTGTTTTACTTTTCTTCTTTGTCACCTGTAATAAATTTATGATTTGAGGTATTAGATGTATATTGTTAACATTGTGGTACTATTTAAGATATATGATTCTATTTAAGAAGAACTCTGAGACTATTTATCTGGATTTCTTTTAAGTAATATTTCTGTTAAGAACATTCAAATCCCAGAAATATGTTTAAAGGGATAGATAATGCTTGTGGACATTTAATTAAGGGTTAATTGGTAATGCTTAAGCTTCAGCTCCCAATAGTATCCTAATATATTTGAAGAAATGAAGATTGTTTGAGGGAAAAAAAGCCACAGTAAAGAAGTTGTTGAATATTGTCAATATCCTATTTTCATGAACTCTTGAAGTGTCCATGAATAGTTTACACTGATGTCTATGGATTGTGATTATATAAAGCTTAGCATAGAGTAACTCTATAGTTCATTGATTTCACTTTTTTTCTAGCTGTCTTGGCCACTAACTTGATTACATTATTTCTGCTACATATTTTTGATATGTATTTTTTTTTTTTTTTTTTTTTTTTTTTTGTGTGTGTGTGTGTGTGTTTAGTGAATATGCTCTTTTATGTCTAGGGTGTTTGTATAGCAGCCAGAGATCTATGAGTGCTTCAGAACCAGCACATCTGGAGCCAGCCAATTTCAGGCCACAGAAAGTACTGATTCTCACCAAATTGTCAAGATATGAGTTTGAGAAGCGTCGACACCCAGAGCTGACCGAGAGACAACTGGAGAGGTGCCTTAGAAACAGAGGATCAGACTACAATATGTTACTCTACCACCACTACATCCACAAGGTGAGGGCATGCTTCACCATATCTCCATCACCATAACTACCATACTTCAGATTTTAGTTTTGTGTTAAGATTATTGTATATTGTTATTGATAATTGTTGAGAATAGAACTGCATCAGGAGACCACCATGACCTCATGTTTAGTGCTCAGGTAAAGGCCAATTAATCTCTACATATATTCTGCCAGTATAGAACTTGGACTGTTTTTTTTGTGTGATGAAATTGTAAGGGCTGTATGCAGGGTCTGTCTTCTCAATATTTTTTGCACAGGTTTTAGCTGAGTATTTATCTTTGATGTGACTAGTTTAAATAGAGTACATGGCAGTAAATGTTATATCAGTTCATTTATAAGACTGTATACTATATTCTGTCTTTTCACAGTCTTATTCTGGGCAGTTGTTTGTTATTTAGTCTCATATTTATTTAACGTAATATAGAACAATTTGCTATTTTCATTCATATATACCAAGTACTAATAAATCATCATCTTTACAGGGTGTTGAAAATACAGTAAACAGTGTATTCAGAGCAGCTGGTATTGAGACCAAAGTGGTTTATCGCTTTGACTACTCAGACCCCAACATCGAATGGGCAGATGCCATAGTGACCACAGGAGGCGATGGAACCTTCCTTCTTGCAGCATCTGGTGTACTAGAGAGAAACAAACCTCTAATAGGGTTCAATTCCGATCCCATGAGATCAAAAGGACAGCTATGTCTCCCTCAGAAGTACTCAGTAGATGTGAAGGAGGCAATTGATAAACTTTTAAAGTAGTTTTGGTGGCAGATGTCCTCAAAATATATTCGTTTATTTTTAAGAAGAGGAATTTGGGGAAAAAATCAGAATTGTTTTCCCAGTGATTCAACTAAAACAGGAATGCTATTTACTACTGAAAGTATATTTTTCACGTTTGTTAAGGAAAGTGTCTAATACTCAGTGTTTTACAGGGAAAATTTCGCTGGACCTTCAGAAGCAGAATTCGTGTCACACTTATAGGGGAAAACATCTTTAGACCACCAGTGGAACTGCATGACCAGCAGTTGTTACATCCTGAGTACAGGTACACCTGGACAGCATTAAGTGTCCTGTCAATTAAATGAAATTATAAGGGACTGTATAAGTATGTTGTAAAAGATGAGCTACTATTCAAATGATGGAAAAAAAAAAAAAAAAAAAATCATATTTGTATTGACATTCTTCTTATGCAGATACCTAGACATGGACTTGCAGTTACGTACGCTGAAGGAAAATACACCATCAACAGATGAGTCTGGATTACCTAGACGAGTACTGCCCGTCCTTGCCTCAATGAGGTTGGTTGACTCCTAGAGACTGATGCCCACAGTTGGCTTTGGTTAAACACTTAAGGTACTGAGGGATATGATAATTTCCCCAGGACACTAGGGGTGTGTTGTGTTATGTAATGTCAGCATTTCATGTTTAACATTATTTATGCTTGTGTTTCTCATGCAGTCTGGTATTGTGTAGCATGGATGCTGTCCAATATCCTGTAATTGGCAGATTGATTAGTGGCTGCATCTTCAAATTTTGTAATACAAAATTGCCACTAATACCTTATGTGACAGGCCCTTATGACCTTTTGTGTTTTTACAGATAAAATAAACTGACCAAAAGTTTTCCAGTAATCTTAAATGTTTAATAAAGGAATTTAGCAAACCCATGTCAGTAGTATCCTTTGCTTGATGCAGGTGAGCTTTGTTTTTTTTCATTAGTCATGATATTGCTAACTTTGTCAGATTCCTATTATTTGAGAATGACAGATCTTCCTCCATCTAACCCAGGTTTTCATTGGCGAATGTGTGTCAGCCAGAGTGTCGTATTTGGAGTTGAGTTTTGATCGTAACAAGGGATCAAACAGAAGTGTTCAGGACTCATCGCCAGCACAGGTGGGTGTCCGTGTGGTGAGACCTTTGGCTCTTGAGGTTCTCAAGAACATGGGGTCGTAGTGATTTTGAAGTAGCATTTGTTTGTTGATGAAACCTTTCAACTCTTTGGTTTCCAGTATGTAAAGTAATGTTTTAAGGATGCAGTCTTTATGATCAGTAAAAGAGGAAAGGTTCAACAGTAGAAAATGTTATTTCTTAATTACATAAACTGTCTTACTGTCTGTAGAAGAGCATTTTGGTTATTTTGCATGACAATACTAGTGGATCTTTGTCAGTATGATATTCTGATTCAGACATTTCACATCATGATGCTTCTGATAATTAGGCTAATAGTTTGATGAATAAATTCACCAACAAGTTGATTTAATAGCATCCTTACAAATATATGTAATTAATTTGATGATGGAAGATAATGTTACTATCATGATTTTTGTTATTTTTTTTTATACTACCATGTTCTCCATGACTGTCAACCACTACTCCATTATCACAGTCATCATCATCATCTCTAGTAAAAGTACAATAGTATGACTTGTAAAGTTTAACATACAGGCCATTATACCTTTTATATTATAAGTCAGTGAAGATTACTATCCATAAGAATGTGGCTGTCCCTGCTGAAGTAAGGTTTGAAATCAAGAAAACTAATGGATGTTGGGTGATCATTGCTTATAGTTACCTAGAATGAAAGCCCAAGTGGTAAAGAGGCAAGTTTCACCACATCCTTGAAGTGAGAAAATAGCAATTAAACTTGAGCAATTGTTTTAGTTTCATGGATAGCTTCCTTGAGTCAACTCCTTTGAGTCAACCCCTTAGCAGATATTTGGTTTGGAAACAGTAAAAAATAAAAAGCAAATCTCAGAAGTTGAAAAGTTGTGGATGAATCTGCAATGTATGTGGGGGTATGCTGTCCACTGAATAGATAGGCTTAGAAGGTTTACATAATGGAGCTGAATGGTGTGTTGTTCTCAAAGTGTCTGTACACAGCTACTTGAAGACCAGTTCTATTGTCTTTCCTGCCAATTTTCTTGGGTATTTGTAGGAAAAAAATCAGCCTTAATGTTGTTCTTCAAAATTTAGTCCTCAAACAATGATATTTCAAAACTGAACAACATATAGCATACCTCACTTCATTAGGGAGTACCACAGTTACAGGCCCACCTTGCAATTGATATTTTTTTTGTAAGGGAGCTTTTTGTTTGTAATGTGCTCATTCTTTTAGTAAAAGTTTGCATTTTTTGGTAACACTCACTTTTGCATTTCTGTTCTTCCCCTATTTCTCTATTCTTTATTATTCCTTTTCACCACCTACACCATAGCATCATCACTTCTGTTTCTTCCATTCCTCTTTTAAGCATCATCTAAATCTCCTCGACATTACTGACCACCTCCAACACTGTCTGCTGCAGTATCTATACCACTTTTTTTCACCATTGCCTCTTCTACCACCAACTGTTGCTGCTAGCACCACACCACATTTGTCAGTTTCCTCCTCCTCCTCCTCCTCCTCCTTCTCCTTCTCATCATCATCATCATCCCCTTCTTCCTTCTCATCCTCCTCCTGTTCTTTCTTCCTCCTCATCCTCATCCTCCTGCTCTTCCTCCTTTTCTGTCTCTTCTTCATCCTCATCCTCATCCTCCTGCTCTTCCTCCTTTTCTGTCTCTTCTTCCTCCTCCTCTTTTTTCTGCTTCTTTTTCTTCTCTTACCCCTCCTCCTCCTCCTCCTCCTCCTCCTCTCCTCATCCTCATTCCTCATCCTCATCCTCATCCTCCTCCACTGCCACCATCACCTCCACCTTCTTCTCCTTCTCCTTCTCACTTCCTCCATCTCCTCCTCTCCTTCTCCACCTCCCCTTTCTTTTTTCTTTCTCATCTCATTCTTCCTCCTCCTCCTCCTCCTCCTCCTCCCTCTCCTCCTCCTCCTCCCCTCCTCCTCCTCCTCTTCCTCCTCCTCCTCTTCCTTCTCTTCCTACTCCTTTTCCTCTTCCTCCTTATTCTTCTCCTCTACCTCCACTTCTTTCTCCTCCTCCTCCTCCTCCTCCTTTTCCTTCCTCTCCTTTACCTCCTCTTCTGTCTCCATCTGCACCTTTCTTTCTTTTTCCATGTGTATTTTGCTGCATGCAGATACTAAGTCCAATTTTTATAGGTACAATATGGCAGGGAGATACTTATGGCGACACCGTAAGAGTTTCTGGAACAAAGACGTTTGTGTGTGAGGGCTGACTTTTAGCTTTGGCTAATTTTTTTTTTTTATTATTATTACTTGCATGTGAGACTGTAGTCTGTTCCATGGTCTTCTAGGAAAGAGAATAGTCAATTAAATAAAAGCATTTGCCATTAGTAAGTTGTGGATAGACTGGATTCATCATACACAGCAACAAAATGTTAAATAAAAACAGGTTACGTTTGTCTTGTATTACAATACACAAATTTGAGTTAAGGCCATGCTATAAATTTGAAGTTTGCATTAGAGTTCATGGAACAGACTAAGTTAATGCAATTATTTGCTATTGGTGTTGTTGGTATTTGAAATGTTATGGCATGTAGTTTCAATAATGAAGCAAAACTTGATGATTTGAGATTAAAAGAATGTTGCCATATTACTACTCCCTAACATACTTATCAGATGTATTAGCTTTGAAGCTGCATGCTCATTTTGTAATAACTATTTTGCTTTGTATGTGTTGTTTATAATAGATATAAACAAACCATGGTTAAATCCTCACAAATAAATTCTAGGAAAAATCCTCATTATAGTTAATGGTGGAAGATTTCCACTGTATTGTTTTTTTCTCTTCACTTCTCTTTGTTCCTCTTCATCTTGGATTCCCATTCCTATTATACTGATGAATGTTCTGATGGAAATGAGTTATTAAACAGTGCTTATCTTGTGCACTCTGTTTGATATGTTGTGCGTGTTTTATTGACTGTCAGATCAACATTGATAATATGAAGTAATTCAATTTCCAATTCATGAAGCTATGATAGTTGAATTGTTAAATTACAGTAAGTGTATTTTAATTACAATCTATTTAATAATTTTGTACCTTCACAATTTTATGCAGGGACGGGCTCAACCTCATGGACTTATAATGTGAACAAGTTAACAGAACAAAATATGGAAGAAATCCTGACTATTGTGAAGGAGGAGACAGGCTTTGGCATCCGCGATACAGATCCTTTATTTGTACGCAAGATTACTAATAAGTTTAATGAGATGCTAATCACAAATCCTGGTGAGTTATATGCATCAATAGGAATTTTTTTATGCTGATAATCAATTATTGATATCAAAATAACTGTTATAATATATTTGTATGAGTTGATATAGTATTATTCAAAGTTTATAGTATCTGATTTCCCACTTACATATTTTGCCCATTTTGCAGAGGAGCCACGTATGGTGTACACTATTAGGGATCAGCTGGTCTCGTCGCCCATGAGAAGTGAATGTGTCAAGCCTAGGGGATTTGCTAGGTCAATAGGTGTAAAGTCTCGTTGCTTTGATGCTTCTTTGGTGATTGATGGGGGTCTATCCTTCCCCTTCAATGATGGGACGCGAGCCCTTCTGGAGATTCATGATGTGGACGCTCTCCGGACAGTGACCCTGCATGAGGATCCAACAGAAGTTTCTTTCAAGCACTGATAGAACGTGTTGAAGAAATGCTTCATAATTTGCAAACAGGACACAGGAAATGTTTTTGGTGTTGAGTAGGAAAAGTAACAGAATTTTCAACATTAATACTATGAGGTGCTCATTGTCTAGTCATACTGGACAGAGTAAGTATTTATGCCTTGGACATAGACATTTTGACATGAACTTAGAGTATCTTCATTGGCAAGTACAAGGAGTGTTATTTAGGAAAGTGGAATGTGGAAATATCTTGCCATTAGTGAATGCAGGAGTTTGTAATGAGGGGAAAATGGTAGATTTAAGTCAGGGTTGTACATAAGTATCTTGTGATTATTGAACTCTCACTTAAACATTGTCACAAATAATAAGCACCTTATTTGGTTATTGAGCAATAGTTGGGGGCTATTTTGCAACGGCAATATGTTTTGTGTAATAGGTAATTTGGTTCAAATGTGTATATATAGCTTTATTATAGAATTTCTTTCTTACATGATTAAATACCTATTTACTGGGCATTTATATTATGAATCTATAACTTGTGATCATTGTTTTGCTCATTAGTTGTTACTTATAGAGTGAGTAGAGATGTACATGCTTTATTGATGTGCTTAAAACCCTTTCATTTTCAAGTGCTGTTTTTTCTGTTAGATCCATTTTGTCCCTATAACATGAAAGGCACACTTTGCTTATCATACAGAGAACAGGGCATGCAAATATGATCCAGTAAGTTACTATTATCATTAACAGTTTTATTGACACGAGACTTGACACGTTTCTTCCCAACTTTTGATACACTTTATCAAGTGGTAAGGAATTTAAATAATAGCTGTTTATTGCAGATTGCCATATTTCACCAGCGTAAACTTCCTTCTGCCAAGACTCATGGTGGAGTATGCATTTGTTTTTTTGTTAAGTCATTATGGTTTGACATTTCTGTGTATAAATTTTTTATGTATCTTTTTATGTATCTTCAACAAACAGAGATAATTACCATTAGTGAAAATCATCAGAGCCTTCATAATAAGAAGAGGTGTACTAACATGGATAATTCATGTGTTAAACAAGATAGCAAAGCCTTTATTTGATTTATCCAACTTTAGATGTCACAGACAATTTGTATCTCCTGCTCTTTTACGAAATATCTCATGGTTGTCTATGAAATACCTTGTGCTGATTTAGGAAGTATAGATGTCTTGGAAAATGTAAAACTGGTTGGAAGTCCAGGTATATGCTATTTCAACATTATATTTAATGTTGACAGCATAAACAATAAGGAACATTTTATAGGCCACCAAAGTGGATTTCCATGCATGTCAAATTACTAGGCTTGATGATGAATTTGAGATAGCAGCGGGGTATATTAGTGGTGTAAAATGTTACAAGAGCAAATATTTGTCTTTTTAGATATTGATGTTAATTATCATCTTTTTTAAACTGCTTACTTATACTCCAGTTTTGTTGACCAAACATAAGGCTTCTATCTCCAAGCAGAGAGTTGTTACAAAAAGAGACAAATGTAGTTTCACTAAACTGTATGATAAAGCACATGCTTATGGGAGAAAAGTCGAAGTTCACAAGAGACATTTCATACACTTTGAAATACAGATTTCGTCCTTTTATATTTTGTTGTGCCTCTGAGCTCAGTAATGTGTAGCATGTTATGTATTCTAATACATCCTTTTTCATCTATTTCATTAATCGTATTCATGCAGATTCATGACCAGTTTCAACTTTTGATCATATATAGCAACTTGGACATCATGATTTATAAGGATGTTTATTTTAGGAGAGTTTTTCATGTTCTTTGGGATATGGTCTCCTATGCTTCCAGTTGTATAAAGGAAACTAAGTGTAAGACATGGATTGAGGACAAATTATCTCAATGGAAATCTTTAAAGGAATAACAATTTGTTGTACTGTGATGTTTTCACCCAGTCATTACACACAAAGATTATTATATCTCTCGTTTTATTTAATTTCTGTTGCAATGTAGTACATAGTTTATGCTTCTTATCAAAAATACATTAAACTTACACCAGTCCCTCCAAACCTTCATTCCATTTTTCTTTTCACATTTTTATAGATTATCATTATTAGGTGAAAGGCCTCCATGAACCTTGCTCTGCCTCAAAATGTCTGGTCACATGTATTCTGTTATTTATTAGTTAGGTCACTTTCCCATGAGTAATTTATAACTCAGGTTGTATTCTAGCAGTTAATGTTTTTGTATGTATACTTTAATACATTGTGCATCCATGTGCACATGCACACATGCGCACATATACACAATCATACACTCTCACACATGCACACACGCATACATGCGCACACACACATACATGTAGACATATTCTGTCCACAGAAACTTTAGTTTATTCAGTTTGTTTATACAGAGATGGCTCCACAAGTACTTAGTCACTAGGGAGTCAGTTACTAGGCCTACATATTCTCATGTGTTCCTTGAATTTTCTGGAAGAAAAGTTTTATTATATTGCTTTTACTAGTGTTGACAACTATTGTTAATAATAATAATGTCAGGAAGGAAGGTAATAACAATAGCAATGATAATGATAGTATAAGGTATATAATTTTTTTCTGCCCAAAAAATAAAAGAATGGGTTGGCAAGTGCACTCAGGTAGGCCAGGCCACTTACTAAGTACTTGCAGGAGCAATCTATGTGCAAACAAAATGCACAAAACAAAAACTACAGTGGACAGTTTATGAATCCAACACCAGTGAGTTAAAAAGTAGTGTAGATTTAGATTTGTTAGTTTGTTACTTTCTTGGCAGTCTTACAATAAATCATACGACTGTCCAAAAGTGCAGTCATATTGTAAATGTATTTCCATGTGAAAAAAATGTATGATTTTACATTGAGAGAGAGGAGTAGGAGGTAAACACAAATAGATTGATAAAATGAATGTGCAGACATTCAGAAGAATGGAAAAAGAGGAGAAATATGTTATATGAATGCACTTCACGGAACCCCAGTGGCACAAATAACAATAAGTGTTCATAGTTTAGAGTTGTAAAGAAATTTGCTGTTCAGTACTTGATATTCACTTTAGCAGTAACATTTGCATCACCCAGCTTGTCCAGATTTTTGGTCTTATTTTATTTTCTATGTGAGAAAATAAGAAATTCTTGTTAATAGAATGTTACTCTTTATGGCTGAATATAAGCATGCACACGCTTACACACACAACACACACACACCACACACAACACACACACACACACACACACACACCACACACACACACACACACACACACACACACCACACACACACACACACACACACACACACACATACATACTAGACACACACTCACACGCACATGCACAGGCTCATGCACACACACACACACACACACACACACACACACACACACACACACACACACACACACACAACACACACACACACACACACACACACACACACACAACACACACATACACTCACTCACTTACTTACTCACTCACTCACTCACTCACTCACTCACTCACTCACTCACTCACTCACTCACTCACTCACTCACACACTCTCACTCTTTCACTCTTTCACTCTTTCACTCTCTCACTCTCTCACTCTCTCACTCTCTCACTCTCTCACTCTCTCACTCTCTCCTCTCACTCTCTCTCTCTCTCTCTCTCTCTCTCTCTCTCTCTCTCTCTCTCTCTCTCTCTCTCTCTCCTCTCTCTCTCTCACCTCACTCACTCACTCACTCCACTCACTCACTCACTCACTCACTCCTCACTCACTCACTCACTCACACAACACACACACACACACACACACACACACACACACACACACACACACACACACACACACACACACACACACACACACACACACACACCACTCACACTCTAAAGCACACATTCACACTCAACACATACACTTACACTGTAGCACACACACACTCACACTCACACTCACACTCACACTCACACACTATCATACACACTGACTCTCTAAAGTACACCCTCACACTCACACTCTCAAACACAACACACACACACACACACACACACACACACACACACACACACACACACACACACACACACACACACCACACACACACACACACACACACACCACACAACACACCAAACACACACACACAAACACACACAACACCACACACACACACACACACACACACACACACAACACACACACACACACACACACACAACACACACACACACACACAACACACACACACACACACACAAATAAACACATGTAGACATATTCTGTCCACAGAAACTTAAGTTTATTCACAAACACACAAACACAATATATTCATATATACATTCATATATATATATATGTATATATATATATATATATATATATAATATATATATATATATAATATATATATATATATATATTATAATATAATCATGTGTATATAAATATATATATATAATATATATATATATATATATATATATATATATATATATATAATATATATATATATATATATATTCACTCTGCTTTTTAAGAATGATAATGGAATTTTTTCCTTTACTAGTTGTTTTTTGTTGCAGAATGTAACAGTAGTTGATGCATCAGAGCTGGTTACTGAAAAATGAACTAGTCACATGAGGACTTAACAGGGTTTTGGAATTATCTTAGGAAATACTTCTTCTATTTAGACTCCATGAAAAGCTATTGCAAAGCTTGTCATTCCAAATTACTTGCAATAGAGAACAGTTGGAATAATTCAACACTATATTCTGTGTGTGCGTCAAATATTCCTATAACACGTAAACAAGTAGCTTAGGGAGTTCAGCGGCTGCCTGTTTTTTCTCCTCAACTAATCTTGACGAAGATAATTATTAAGAGAAGCAATATCCCTTAAGTAAGTTCTACTGTTCATATGTATGTTTATAATGCTATATTTGTACATATAAAAAATATGTAAAAAAAAAAGTATTTAGATATGGATTGAAAATAAAAAATGAAAATATACCGTATTTGAGATTTTTAAACATTAAATTTGCAAATTTAATTGTATGGTCACTAAACAATGGATATGCAAATGTCAGGTAAAGTATATAGATTTACTTATTCATCTGTTCTTATAGTTAGTGCACCGAAGAGAAA